CAGGCCCGAAGTCCTTGCCAAGAGGGCCCATTTGTAGTACTAGTATGGAATTAGGGTTTAGGGTTTAGGGTTTAGGGTGTGGGGTGTAGGGTGTAGGGGTTAGGGTTTAACCATACTAAATAGGGTTTTTGGGGTGCCCACTTCCATAATACTACTACAAAAGGGATCCTCTTCTGGGTTTCTACGGGTCTACTTTGTCATAGTGGGGTAACATGTTACGTTTTTGAGGGTACTGAAACCCAATGAGGAATAGAAGTCTAAATACGATCCCAACCATGCACTAGTTTGGGGTTTTGGGTTTTGCCCTCGAGTCCGCCCCGTGTGCACGCGACAAGAAGGCCCTGACAACCACCCGAAATCTTGCACTAAACCCTAAACCCTAAACCCTAAACCCTAAACCCTAAACCCTAAACCCTAAACCAACCCCCCTAAGCCTCAAGAGGGTCACGAGCTGGGGAGCTTTGGGCGTGCAAGAGTCCGTGCACCCCCGCCTTCCGCGTTTCGTTCTTGTTTTGGATCACAGGGTGTAGAGTCACCATGTATCGACCCGGCAGACAAAGAAAAACACACATATATATATATATATACATGTATGTGTGTATATATATATACATATGTACACATGTATATGGACACCTACATAAATATACATAGTCGTAAATCAACACGTAATGCTTTTTGTATGCTTCCTCATCCCCCAAGATCACAGTTCAATCGTCGATTGAAGCTTTAAATTTCCAGATTTATCCTTTCCCCCTCCTCCCCCTCCCGCATGCGATCTCACCTTTCAATATGTTCATTGACGCATGCACGTTTTGCATTTTGTGATATAGCTCAGAAGCCGTTTAATCACTGAACTGACAACATGGGGGGTCAACTCCATCAATCTTGAGCAAACTAGCCCTCAGAAGTTTGAAGTCGTGAAAGTCCTTTACCGAACTTACTCAAGAAGCACCCCTAAACCCAAGCCCTAAACCCTAAACCCTTAACCCTTAACCCTGTGGATTCCAGGGTTTGGGGCTGCCAAGAAGGCCTTGAGTATAGTTGGGGGAGCTGCTTCTGCCCCTATTCCAAATGGAACCGTATAAACCCCACAAATTCTAAATGAACTGCAAGAAGGCTAGGGTTTAGGGTTTATATAGGGGTTAGCATAGGGTTTAGGGTTTAGGGGTTAGGGTTTCGGGTTTAGGGTTTAGGGTTTAGGGCCTAGGGTTTCGGGTGTATCATAGGGTTTATCGGGTTTAGGTTTTAGGGTGTAAAGGGTCTTTGACAACGAGAAGTGAGAGTGAGGAAGTCAACCAGGGTTTGAGAGCCCGGCTCCTTGTTCTACTTGTTTGGGGCGTAGGGCGTCTGGCAAGTTGTGGAAATGAAGCCCTAAGCAGTACTTGGGGAAGCTCTGCTGACGCAGGAAGTCTACTGAGTATCCCCCAGAAACCCTATTCTAATCCCCTTGTCTGCCTCTTCATGACTCTTCATGTCTTGATTTTTGGCCAAGTAGAGAAATGGAATGCAGTTGAGTATGGGGGACGTTATATTATATGTACCCGTGATAGATGAGAAGTTCAGTATGAGGTTGGGGATTAGGGTCTGGGCTTCAGGGTGCGGTGTATGATGTATCCCCCGAAGCTTTGACCGGTGGATCCTGAAAAGTACGAATCATCCTAAACCCGAAACCCCCGAAAACCCTAAACCCTAAACCCTAATCCCTCTGACATTCCCAGGACGTGACGTCTCCACAGCTGGTCGAGTCCTGACAACCAGGGCTGAGAGTGTTCGTACAGCGGGTGTGACCTACGGCCGGAAAAAGAAGCTGGTGCAGTATACTTGGAGGTTCGGTACCTATAGAAGATAGGATGCCCAGTAGTACCCTTATTCCCTTTTTGGGGGGTTTAGGTTCCCCTGTAAACCTCTTTAAGCAAAAAAAGGGCACCCTTTTGAATCCTAGGTTTCTGGGCAACCTGGGAAGGGTGATAAGTAGGGAAGCTGAATATAGAAGGGTGATAAGTAGGAAACCCTAAACCCTATAAACCCTAAACCCGATGGCGCAGTCTGCAGGATGCTGCGGTACGTTCCTTTTGCAGGGCGACGGGCCCCTCCACAGTCGGAATTCATCGCAACAAGCCGTGTGGACGTGGGGCCCTCTATGGCGCACAGGGCACGCCACAGGACGTTATACTTTATCGCCTCTGCTGCGTTATATATAGAGCTCCAACAGATATATCAAGAATGAGAAGATTTCGAAATTGACTCTCAACTCAAGCCTTACGGCCACATGAACCCCAAAAGTGTGATAACTTTCCTGCATTCTACTGCAGGCCCAAATGAGCCAAATAAAACAAAATGAACCCTCAACCCTAAACCCTCAACCCTCATCCCCTCAACCCCGAGACCCCCCTCCCAGAAGGAACCGCATGAATCGCGAGTGCAGCTCAAGGCCGGTATAACGCCAGCCGGGATGTAGTCGCACCACAGTACTTGGAAGCTCTTTTGACTTGGTAAGTAGGGTTAGGGTTTAGGATGTTTAGGGTTCTGGGTTTAGGGTTTAGGGTTACTTCGTTCGTAAGGTGTGTTAGGTTTCTAGGGGTACTATATATAACAGCTTCTAAGAGCTCGGAGAAGCGCAGAGCTCGGAGAAGCGCGTTCTGTTGGCCCCAGCACACTGGTCAAGCCAGGAGCAACATCGTGCGAGTAGCCGTCGCGGCGACTTCAAGTGTCGGAGCGCAGGCAAATTGGGCGACGAAACATGCTCGGCACACAATCGTTGCCCGAGGCGTCGCGGGGCAGAGCGTTGCAGGGCTGCAGCTTCGCCATGCTTGGCGTCAAGCAAGCGCTTCTGCGCCAGGGCGTGCCGTTCTCGCTCACGGCCTCAGGCAGTGCCATCGTGGCGATCCTCTGTCCCGTTCTGGCCTTGCCAGCTCGTGAAGTGCCGCATATATACGTTCGTCGGGCGGCCGAAGTGCGCTAACGTACGTCGCCTTCGCCTTTCGCGGGGGCACGGGCGGACGCAAATCGCAGCCGACGCATCTCGCAGGACGTCGACGACGACGACCACGTTCGGAGCGTGTGCGCAACATTGCGCACCTGTATCGCGGCCACCATTCGACCTTCACAAGCTAGCTTGACCACATCCCTGCAGGCCCTGCCGGCAAGTGTCCACATTTGGTGCCAGCTGACGACCGCTTTGTCAACTGCGCGACGGGCCAAGAAAATGACGCTTGAGCCGAACTAGTTTGAGCTTAAAAATATGTAGCGGGTTGGCTGGAGCCGTGGCTTAGGGTTGTCAATTGTCATATGTCCTTACATGTCATTACTCTCATTCTCAATTTCATTCTTACTTTCATTCTAAGTGCTTTCTTATTCTTGCCGAGTGACGCGATCGAGGCTGTGGAACGACCGTTGCATTTGTCACATCGTCCGTCGTTTCGTCTTCGTCGTTTCCACCGGTATTTACAGTATTGCTATGTGCTTCCCGAAACCTCGTTTCTGCTTGTGTTGTTGGTGTCTTTCTCTTCCCGCTGCTTATCACTGCCATTTCTCTCGTAGTTCATCTGTATTCGCATGCATTATCCGGTTCAAGCCTTGCACGCTCGTGCCCGGAACTTTTCGAATGCATGCTCTTGGCCTGTTTCCGTTTTGTGGTTTCTTGCCCACCTGTTGCACACGTCACCCTTGGACAAGGCATGACGTACCTCGTTTGCCGTGCCGTCAGCGGCATCAAATGTTGGCAGTGCGGAGCACAGAATCTTGGCACACTTCAGAAGATGCGAAAATTGTGCTCTCGCCCAGGTTGCCACATTTTCAGGCATGGTCATTTGCAGCGCAAGCCACGAGTGAGTATGTGGAAAGCTTATAATCGCAAAACAAAATGTATTATTTGAAAGAATACGGTGGCGGCTCGGTGGTTTTGCGTTTTGTTTTTTTTTTCGAACTCACGGCTCCGGCATGCCCAGCCGCGTAGTGTCCCCGAAGGCTCGGTTTGACAAGAAGTGTCGTAAAGTGCGCGAAACACTGCAAATAACAGCAACACGGACTTTATCATCGTGTGGACATGGATGCTCTGGTAACAGGGATGTTCGTGTTCTCAGTGCGTGCGATTGGCTAAACCGCCCACGGTCGAACGAGGATTACTGTACGTCCGTGTTACCAGGCCGTGCGATTGCCCAAATCATACATATTCGAACGCTGATTACATCTGTGCTATAGATGTATACGTCCTTCTTACCCGTGCGTGCGATTGCCCAAAGCATGCATTGTCGAACGATGATTGCGCCCGTGTTACCAGTGCGTGCGTGCGATTGCCCACAGCATCCATATTCCAACGATGATTACGTCCTTGTTAGCACGGCGTGCGATTGCCAAGAGCATCAACGGTCGAACGATGATTGCGCAGTGCGTGCGATTGCCCACAGCATGTATATATTCGAACGATGATCACGTCCGTGTTAGCACGGCGTGCGATTACCAAAAGCATCCACGTGTGCGGCATTTATTGTTTGATCGTTTGGCAACAATTCTGTTAGGTGCTGCCAAGTTTCACCTGCCGACACACACAGACACACATGTGCACGCGCATGTGCATAAGTGCATGCATCGTGTGCACACGCGCGTACACACACGCATGCACACACGCACGCACACGCACATGCGTACGCATATGCGCACGCACATGTGCACGCGCGCACGCACATGCGTCTGCACGCGCGTTTGCACGCGCGCATTCACACCTGCATGCACACATGCATGTACACACGCATGCACACACGCACGAATACGCGCCTACGTGATGCTACGTGCACACGCGCGCACGCACGCACGCATGCACGCACGCACGCACGCACGCACACACACACACACACAGACACACACACACACACACACACACACACACACACTCACTCATGGAATCCTGCCCTTGTTATTCCTACGTCAGTTCACATGCTCCTGCATTCAGCGGACTGGATCAAGTCTTTGGCCGGGCACAGATGAGAATTTGGAATCATGTGACCACCAAAACATGGTGCCGGTGTAGGCTCGGGAGGACCACTTGGATTCGCAGACATGGCTGCCAGCGCAGCGCTGCAAAAATATGCTTTTTCAGCGCGCGACGGGCGGTGTGGGTCGTGAGATGGAACGGCATCTGTGCTGTTGCAGCGCAGCGGGCCTTTGCAGCATCCCTCCTCGGGCTGCCTCCAGGAGGAGAGTGTAGTGCTCCTCGCCGACGCGCGCTGGCAGGCGACTCCCGCCCGCAGCCGCCTCCCCATGCGTGCTGTCTGAGGCTGAGACGCCGTGCGCAGCGACCTGGATGTTGCAGGCAAAAAAAAACGTCATGGTAAGCTGATAGATAACTAGGGTTTATTCAAGGGACGATCAATGATAGGCAATCCTATCGCAGGTGTAGCGATAAACGAAATACACCAGGAACACATTCATGGAATCCGTCCTCTCATATCGCTACCTCAGTTCATATGTTCCTGCATTCAGTTGTCTGGCCCGCTTAACGTCGCTCCATGTCGCTCCACAACTCGAAGCGCTGCCCCGTCGACGTCCGCATGGCTGCGGTTGCCCTGTTCGTGTCAGAGGCGACGCGAGGCTGGCATCGCAGCACAAGGCCTGGCCTGTGGGCGTGGCTCCGTACACAAGCATGTCCAGTCACCGCCGCTCCCCGGGCGCCACGCCAAGGGCCGTGGTGTGCGCAAGGCCAACTGCGTGGCATCCGGCGACAGCGTCGTGGCAGCCTCGCTAGGATGGCGGTGAGCCATGCTCCTGCGTGTGGCACCGACTGCGATCGGAGTAGCGCGCGGTGGCTGGCTGATTTGGCTGGCAGGGTTGGCAGCAATCGCGGTCGCGAAACCTTTAGATGCTGCAATGCCAAAAAAAAAAGGTTGCGTGTACACGACGCGTGGAACAGGCCTCCAGTCAATTGGACTGGGGGCGCACGTCTCAGCCTTTGTCCGCAGTAGCGCCCGGGCTGCCCGAAAAACTCCAAACCCAACAACACCATCAGGCCCAAACTCCATTAACCCAAAACATGATCTGAACCCAAAAGCCTGGAGCATAAAACCTATCAAGACCCTGTCCGCCCTAAACAAGCCTCGTTGCCGTCCGTGATTTTGCCCTTTGCACACCGATCCCCGTTCGAGATTAGTGCTGCGGTTGCTGTCGCGTGGAAGGCTTGAGGCTTATAGGCTAGGGTCGGCTCCCCGGACAAAACAGAATGTGCTTTTGTTTTCGAGATTAGAAACCAGGACCAGGCGTAGGATTTTCTTTATTTAGGGTGGGGGTTCCCAGGAAGGTTCCCAGGAAATCCCCGTAGACCAAAAATGGCACGGTTTTGTTTTTCCTAGGTTACACCCGGGTTTAGGAAACTGCTGAAAAGAAGAGGGTGGTGCCCGATTCCTCGTTTCACCACATGGCAGAGACACCGCTCAGCCGCTATGCCGACGCCTGCAACCAGGGCAAGAAGTTCCTTGTCAATGCAAGACCCTCCGAAACCCAAAGCCCAGAACCTTGAACCTTATACCCTAACAATTCCTGAGTCTGGGTTTCCGGCAAATCTCGAAATAAATCGTTCGCCGAAGAACAGCCGGCATCCTTTCAGTAGCTGGCTGGGCCACACCGAGGTCCCTAGACACGATAGCACTTTTTTCAGTCGTTGGGCCATCGAGCTCCCCAAGCCTAAGCCCTCAACCCTTGAAAGCTCGAGTCCAAGGAGCCTCTCCTTTCTTTCCGACAACTCGCCGAATGCGGAAGTCGACCTGGTGGCTGTGGCACGTATACGTCCATTTTGGGCAGAGCGGGTGTCGGGATAGTTCTTGTTTTTTTGGGTTTGTGGCGTTTCTTTTTCCAGGCCCTGGTCGGTTGTAAGGTCTTCTTGCTTGCTTGGTGCCCACCCACGTGCCCGTAGCGAGATCGGCAATTTGGAGGTTGGTGAGTGGGTGGGGTAAACCAAAGGTGTTTCCCGAGATGTGCTCGCACGAAGGCATACCCGATGTACACGCTTCCGATGGATGAACTCCTTCGCATGACCCAAGTGCGGCCGCACGAGGACAGGATTAACCCCAAGTTCATGAACCCTGAACCCGAAAACGTACAGAGCAAAAATCGACAAAACCTACGAACTTCTCTCCGAACCCCAAAATATCCCAAAATAATGTTTGGCCCATACTTTGGGTTAAGCAGGGGGACCCATTCCATTCCCCCTCCGCCCTGGAAGGAGCTGATGGGGAATGGTAGCCTAGTTGAGTTCGACGAGGCCTTGGGCAGGCCATTCGGATCGGACACTTAGGGTTATACGGTTTACGGGCTTACAAGCGGAACAACAAATTATGGTTTAGCGTTTATGGTTCAAGGTCCATCGGGAGAGCGCAACGCACACTTTCCCCTAAGCCGAGAAGGTCGACTGTTTCGCTGTGCTGTCCATGATCTCAAGGCATTTACTGTGCCGCTGCTGCTTTGTTTTGGGGAGCCCAGTGGGAGCCCAGTAACCTTTGGAACTTAGGATGTTCACCCATATAGTAACAGTCCTTAGGAAGGATTATAATGTCCCCCATGTTCCCCCCATTGTAGTCCCCCTTAGGGACTAACTGCTTGTTAGCCTAAAGGGAAACATCCCAATTTCAACTTCCATGGCCCCAACATGAAGGGTCCGCTTCAAGCAGCTCCAGCCCCAAAAAACAGGGGTTTACGATGTTAGGGGATTCTCCCGGCACGCTCACCCAAGCCTGGATGCAAAAAGGGGGTACCTGCTGGGGGGTCCTTAGGACAAGGGATCCCAGTATTTGGGGGTCTATATTGATTGCTGCGCCTTTATGCGCCTATTGCTAGATATCTGCATAGAATCGCAGAAAAATGCGCCCGCTTGGCTTCGCAAAAGACGTTCCGCATACACCAACAACGAGGCGATAGCTGCGAGACAAGCCGTAAAAAGAGGCTTCCGACCTTCTGGCTCCCTTTGTGGAGGGTTCATGTACTCGAGATCTGATATGTTCGACCCGAAAAGTGATGGCCCCATCGACAGGGCCATGTTCATCTCGCACCAGTGGCTCGCCAACGATCACCCAGATCCCGAAGCGAAGCAATGGAAGGCGCCATCGGTTCCAGTATTGTTTTTGTTGGGGGGGGGGGGTTTGGTTCAAGTTTTTTTTGTTTTTGTTTGCACATTCACATTGGCGTCATTGCCGAATGCCACCATGCCCCCTATAAACTGTTGTCCACCCTATAAAGCAGTGCTAGGTTGGATTTTGGGATGTGTATAAATATGTAGATTGTGTATATATATATATATGTATGTGTATATTGCATTCCCCCATATACAAATACTTGTTGAAAGGGTTTAAAGGCCAACCCAGAGTATGCATGAGTATGCGGGGTGAGCCGGTGAGCTCAAAGAGTTCCGCTTGCGAGGGTCTTATGCCACCAAGACGCAGGGCACGCACAACCCCCGCGGTTTAGGGGTTAGGGGTTAGGGGTTTGGGGTTAAGGGTTTCGGGTTTAGGGTTAGGGTTTAGAATATCGGTGCCTATAAGGCCCCCTACGTCCTCTACCCATGAACCTTTGCCAGCCAAGTGGTGCCCTTTTTCTCCCTTTGTTTTGCTTCAAGATTTCCCTTGTATAGAAACAAATCCAAACAAAGGGATTAAAAAAAAAAAAACGGGAGTGCCCCAAGTGCGTGGTACAATGGCAACGCCCGTGCCGAAGGTGTTGCAAGAAGCCATTCGCAATCTCTATTCTGGCAGGTGGGGCGGGTTTTTCTTGACAGTTGAGGCTTGTGGTCAGCGCGGGTCTCATGGATGAAGGGCAATGTTTGAACGTGCATTTGTGATACTGCGTCCTGCCTCATACTCCTATCCATATTCCCCTTGGGAATTGTTTTTTACATTAAAAAACGTTTGTTTATATAAACCCCAAAAGGATATGAAAAAGCGTTTTTTAAATTAAGGGGAGTGTGGGTAAACCATGTAAACCCTATAAACCCTCTAAATCCCATAAACCCTATAAACTCTATAAACCCGAAAAAAAACCCTACAAACCCCAAACCCTAAAGCCTAAACCCCAAACCCCTATGGGGGGGCATCTTTGCAGTACCGCGTCATCGACAGAAGATGGCTGATCCTTCGCCAAGTATCTTGCAGTGTTTTGATTCTAGACCCTAAACCCTAAACCCTAAACCCTCTACAATGTACCTTCAGGGAGGTGCTTCACCCACGTCAAGGAACTTGAAACACCTATGTCAACCTGAGATGCCCTGTAGTGCCTTGTACATCTCTTCTCAGATCCCTTGTAAGCCCCATCAAACAACAGCAGGCTCCCTTTCATCATGAGATTTTACTAACAAACTTTAGTTTGGTGTACTTTCGAGTTTCGCCACAGTAGCCGGCGCCTCGAAAAGGGTTTAGGGTAGAAGGTGAGTGCAGGGTTTACGTTTTCTGGAGCATGCAGTCGTCATACCCATCACCAGACAAGCTTGCAGTTGTTTTCGGCGATTTAGACATCACAACAAGTTCAGCCTGTTTCGGGCACTTCGCCTTATCCAGCTCAAAGCTCGCCAAAGGGGGCAAAATTACCCCACACCAGTTAGCTTTGAACCCTCTACCATCCAGGAGCCTGGTTACGCTCCCGGTCCTCACAGAATACTTCTACGGACGGCATACATCTCTCTCACGCGAGGCTTGGGAAGGTAGATGCTCAGTTCCCCCCCCCGGGCCCCCGTAATATTAAATACTCCCAGTATACTTATTTGTTAGTATATGGGGGGTATTCAATATACGGGTGGGTAATATTCGGGTGGGTCTAAGGTTTAAGGTATGTAAGCTTTAGGCTTTAGGGTTTAGGGGTTTTAGGTTCTTATTTCGACAAATGTTGGACTTATCCCCATTGAGGGTTGTTCATTTAATGGTAGACTTCGAGTGTGGAAGTTTAGGTTTAGGGTATAGGGTTAAGGGTTTAGGGTTTAGGGTTTAGGGCTAGGGTTTAGGGGTTGCGAGACCCCAGCACCCGCCCTTGAGGACTTCCAGTCGGAGCCACTTTTCATCTGGCCCCGTGGCGCAGTTGCTTCTTGAAAGAGACCCTGATTATTAGGGTTTAGGGTTTAGGGGATATCTTATTATGGGGAGGGTTTAGGGTGGTCGTCCCACAGCCCTCAACATAGCGGATGGTAGAGGGCGAGGAGCGGGGAGGAGGCGGGGGTTTGGGGGAGGTTTCCGGGGAGTGGTGCAACATCCCCCGTATCACAGGAACTTAGTGTAGAGCTCTCAAGCTTTCGATGGCGCTTGTGCGAACAGCTGCCCTGAACTCGGAGCAGTAAGTATACCCCAAAACCTTGCAAAGCCCGTCAATCCCATGTCCTAAGTCCTGTAGGTACTATCCTAAGCCCTATAGACCTTCTACAAATCCTCTAGATCCTTTCGCAGCTGAGGTATGATTACGTGTCGTGCCCCCAAGCCATGGACCCTCGTGGGCAAGAGCACCAGAAACGGGCGATTGACAGCATCGTCTCTTACATCGAGCGCTGTGTGCACCTGGGCTAGAAATAGGTTTAGGGCTTAGGGCTTAGGGCTTAGGGCTTAGGGTTCAGGGTTCAGGGTTCAGGGTTTAGGGTTTAGGGTTTAGGGTTTAGGGTTTAGGGTTTAGGGTTTAGGGTTTAGAGCTCTAATCCTGGCAGTCGATTACAGTCTCCAGTTGCAAAAGGGTCAGGGTTAAGGGTGTTTAGGGATTTCCGAAAAGGACGGAGGGTCTATATCGGAACCAAACCAAATACCCGAATACCCATTCTACTGTAATTCGCTGGCCTCGTCTTTCTTGACATTTAGCGAGGTCAGCCCTTTACCCCCTACGCCCCTGCAACCCGCATTCTTGCTCCGGATGACACAGCGATTCTGCAAAGGTACTTTGTCGTCCTTTGCCCGAATTTGCTGCACAAAGACCAGGCCATTTGTTTGCGGTCACCTTCAATCAATCAGTCACCATAATACCAATACCATTATTTTGGCACATCATAACGTTGGTAAACCCTAAATCCTAAACCCTAAACCCCCAAAAAGGCTTAAGTTCAGTTCCGTGACAAGGACGCTCCAGCATTTGCAGCCTTATTGAAGCAAAAGAGCCCAGCAAGCTACACCCTAAAGTCTGCACCCCAAAAGCTTTAGGGTTTAGGGTTTAAGGTTTAGGGTTTAAGGTTGTAGGGTTTAGGGTTTAAGGTTTAAGGTTTAGGGTTGAGGGTTCAGGGTAAGAACCCAGGGCGACCCGAACACAAAAATGCCTTTGGGGCCCTGATTCCGTGGTTGTTTCCTAGCTTTTTTGACATCAAAAATCAGGGTCGGCAGGCCAGAAGAGTTTTTCAACTTATCCAAGCAAGGCGGGCATCTTGAGGTCTGGGTAGCCCAGTGGTGCCCTTTACCCTTTTTTGGTTCTGGGGCTCCCTTATAAGGCAACCAACCCAAAAAAAAAGGGTGCCCGTATTATACTATGGTTGCTGGGCTACTTAGATGTGTTCCCAGCATTCTGGTGTGTTTGTCAATCAAGTCTTGGATCTCGGCATCGAAGATGCAGGCTGTTTCCTTAAGCCCTGCGGGGTAGCCGAAAGAGCTTACCTGCTTGAAGGTGTTCATGCGGAAATAGCAAAGTCAGCCTTTTTGGGGCTGCAGGTAGTAAACCCTAAACCCTCAACCCTAAACCCTAAATCAAAAAAAGTCAAGCGCTTGCAGTCCAAGAGCTTGATATCTGCGTCAGGGCCTTGTCTTGAGCGAAGCGACCTGGGCCGAGCGTGGCTGGTGCAGCTTGACCATGAACCACCCAGAGAGCCCAAGACTCCTTAACAACTGTACTTATATGGGTTTAGGGTTTAGGGTTTCGGGTTTAGGGTTTAGGGTTAGGGTTTAGGGTTTACAAGACTCCTTAACTCAGGAATAGACCTGAAGGGAGAAAGGGGTCCTTAATAGGATTTAAGGTATATTCCTTGTTTTAGGGGTATTGGGCTCTTGGATTTCTTAGCGTTTAAAGGGCGATGGTCAAGTTCTGCAGCAAAAAAACCCTAAACCCTAAACCCTAAACCCTAAACCCGTGGCCTGAGTGTCAGCTAGGCGGGTGGCAAAAAAAAAAACCCTCAACCCTAAACCCTGAACCCTGAACCCTGAACCCTAAACCCTAAACCCTAAACCCTAAACCCTAAACTAAACCCTCAACCAGGCTTTAATTGAGGGGTAGTATGGGCTCTCCGGGGTGTGGCTTCGGCACTTACTTGGAGGTTCGTGGTACCTATTAACCAATTACAACTGTACTTATATGGGTTTAGGGTTTAGGGTTTCGGGTTTAGGGTTTAGGGTTAGGGTTTAGGGTTTATAGCTGTACTGATAACTGTAGTTCTAACCCTATTAGGGCACGTAAGGGGCTTATAAGTGGGTCATAAGTACAGGTAGAATTGGTTCAGAAGTGCCCCAACACCCTAAACCCTAAACCCTAAACCCTAAACCCTAAACCCTAAACCCTTTTATGCTTATAGTAGAATTGGTTAAGAAGTGCCATGAACCTCCAGGGCTGGCAGGCTTGGGCTCCTGCACCGAGTTTTTGCCTCTTTGGGGTTTAGGATTTTAGTTTTTGTCGGGTTTTAAGGTTTTGTTTTGTTCTGTTTTTTTGGGGGTTTCAGGGGTTTAGGGTTTTAGGGTTTTTTAGGGTTTTTTTGGGTTTTTCGGGTTTTTAGGTTTTCAGGGTTTTAGGGTTTAGGGCTTAGGGTCATCCTTTCAGTATCGCAGTGGTACATCTACTCATGTTGTTCTGGCTCGACCTGTCCGGCTTTTTCACGGAGTTTGGAGGCGAAGAAGAGCATCGCTTGCTTGAGCCCCTGCTGTCATATAGTCATATTCCCTGACTACTAGAATACCCTGACTACTAGAATGCCCCATTAAGGTCATATGAACCCTAGAAACCCTAAGCCCTAACCTCCTTAAATCCCCAAGTTACGGGCCCCCCGACCCCAGAACACTGGCAGAGGTCGGGCAGAACGCTTGGCTCGGAAGTTGGCAGCCCGCGAGGCCGGCAACCTCTCTTGCGGTCTAGGGTTTGGGGCTTGGGGCTTGGGGTTTGGGGTTTGGGGCTTGGGGTTTGGAGTTTGGGGTTTTGGGGTTTGGGGTTTGGGGGTTGGGTTCCGACAATCAGGGTAGCTGTATTTGGTGTGCCCCTACTTGGAATCCCGTTTTACTTGGCAAGTAGGACTTAGGGGGTTCAGGATTTCGGGGGTTTAGTCTTCAGGGTGTCCCTATCATAAGGGTCAACCTTTTGTGTGGAACACCCTTTTTCAAGGAAATTCTCGATATGCCTGTGAAAGTACGCCCTGAGTTACGGTTGATAACCCGAAACCCTAAACCCTAAACCCCAAACCCTAACCCTAAACCCTAAACCCTAAACCCTAAACCCCAAACCCTAAACCCTAAACCCTAAACCCTAAACCCTAAACCCTAAGGTTCGGCCCTTGCCCTGCGGAGGAAGTTTCAGCGCGTTTGGGTACCCTAAATAAGAGGGGTCGCCCTACAATCAGGACCCCAAAAGGGACCATGACTTAGGGTTTTGGGTTTTGGGTTTAGGGTTTAGGGTTGAGGGTTTAGGGTTTAGAGAAGCCACCCTATACCCTATACTACAATAATTCCAAGTAAGGCACATGAACCATAAACCCTTGTAGGGTTCTTGTCGTTCCCAAGGTGTATCAGAACTGTATCAGGATAAACCCTTTAAAGCCTAAACGCAGATGAATAAACCCAGACCGCTATGGAAGTATGAGTAGTCCTCCAAATAAAGGGCCCTTTTTGGGGTCCTTATCATCAGTGTGCCGTAATATATGGCGGATTTGAAAAAGGGACCCTAATGTAAACTCCCCAAATAGACCCTAACCCTAAGCCCTAAAAACCATAAACCCTAAGCTCGCCCTAAACCCGTCAACCACTAAACCCTGTTGGTGTCAAAATCCCTAAACCCTAAACCCTAAACCCTAAGTCCTAACCCTAAACCCTAAACACAGACGAACGGGGCCCCCAGAAGCGCCCAGGACGGCTGCATCCTAGTCGTGGCCCCTCGGGCTGCAGAGAAGGTCTTTCGCCCTAAACCCCAAACCCTAAACCCTAAACCCTAGAGTGGTAGGGCGCGGAGATTTCGTGGGTGCCCAAAAGTAGGCAGAATATGTCACAATCATAGCATTCTTGGGGGGTTATAGGTCCACATATATATATATATATAACTAACACCATGTAACTACCCGAAGACTAGGGTTTCAATGGGTGTTGTGGCTTCCCTAAACCCTCAACCCGAAACGGATGCCAGAAGCAGTGCGCCCCGTTCCTTCGTTTAGGGTTTAGGGTTGAAGGTACTTCCTTTCCCTTCCGCCTGGACAGAAACCTTACACACCCTTACGACCTTCCAAACACTAAATCCCAAGAGGCTAGGAACCCAAAACCCGAAGAGCTTAGCACCCTAAACCCGAAACCCTAAACCCTAAACCCGGTGTCCTGGGCTTGCGGTGCAGACTCGTGTTTCACGTTGGCGCCCGATATTCGCTCTTTGGAGATGGTGCTGCAGAGACCCTAAACCCTACAAGGTGCAGGCAAAGCCCTGTTGCCGAGGAGAGTGCCATGCGCCAAACCCTGGCACTCCACACCTCGAGGCAGGGTTTTAGGGTTTGGGGTTTAGGGTTCAGGGTTTAGGGTTTAGGGCTTAGGGTTTTTCAGGGCTTTGAGGTTTGGGTGTGTTTGGGGGTTTTGGGATTCTTTAGGGTGTACGGATCTCAGGGTTCTCTTAGGGTTGAGGGTTCTTGGGGTTCAGGGTTCGTAGGGTTTGGGGTTCTTAGGGTTCTTAGGTTTGGAGAAAGACGATTGCGCCCAAAGTATTGGAGCAGCATCGTTTGTAGGGTCGTTGGTTGCGGGAGTCGTGTCGGCTGCTTCCTCTGACTGCAATTTGTTCGACCCATCCCTTACCCGAAAATTGGTGTCACATACCCTATACATCTGTCTCTTAAGGTGTATGAGGCCTAAACCCTAAACTCTAAACCCTTGTAGGGGTTCATTTCGCCCCCAAGGATCTGTCCATAATTTCTGTTGGCACGGGCAGCACGGAGATGTCAGCGGAGTCGTTGCTTTGCTCAGGCCTTTGGAGCTACGCTTGTAGGCTCATGGTACTTATTCACCAATCATATCTGAACTTATCGCCGCTTATAAGTGGGTTAGTACAAATAGAATTGGTGAATAAGTACCCCTAAACCCTAAAAACTAAACCCTAAACCCTAAACCCTAAACCCTAAACCCTAAACAGTACCGTTCTAGTTTGTTAAGAAGTACCATGAACCTGCAAGCATGGTAGCAACAGCCAGGGCCAGGGCAGGCTTAGGTTCCATTTACATTGCTTGAGCGCAAAGGGGACACCAAAGGTGGCAGCCTAGGGTTTAGGGTTTAGGGTTTAGGGTTTAGGGTTTAGGGTTTAGGGTTTAGGGTTAGGGGGTTTAGGGTTTAGGGTTATTGCGTCCTCGGGCTTGTTGTCTAATTAGCCATTCTTCGCACTACAGGGGCTTAAAGTCCCAGGTCATCCCTAATGGACCTACAAATAATTATCAAGTATAAACCCACCCACAATACCTATTCCAATGGAACCCTAGACCCTGAACCCTAAGTTATTAAACCCGAAACCCTAAACCCTAAACCCTTTTTCTAGTTTTAGAGGTCCCTGTCACATAAGTTTCCGGGAGGTCCATCGATGCACCTGGCCTGGGGAAGCCCCTTCGTCTCAACAAGGGTTTTTTGGGTAAAGGGTTTCGGGTTTAGGGTTTAGGGTTTAGGGGGGTTTTGGGTTTAGGGTTTGCGGTAAAGGGTTTACAATCTAGGCGCTGTCTTGGAGCATGCCGTGCTGTGGAACAGCAGTATGTGAGTTCTCTCATGCCACTCCATTCCCGCTGAGTGTCCTCTCAGGGCATGCTGCATAGAAGGTCCAGCCTCCTGCCTAAGCCCACTCCAGCTCGACCTGATGTCGCAAGGGTTCCGGCAGATTCCTGAACTTAGGAATTCATAGCGTGTATTCATTCTGGCATTCATAAGATTGGCATTCCACAGTGAATTGCAGCGCCTGCGCAGAAGGCCCAGAAATTGAGATTAGGGGTAGGACTGGGTAGGACTCAGACAGGCTTGAAAGGTGCCTTGTTTAGGCTGAGCATTCGGACTGCGCGTGTAAGGCCTGAGTGTGTTCGTGTGCGATGTCACATCGGCCCCCACAGATGTTTGCGCATGATCCAGGTTCAGTGTCGAGTCGGACCGGAGTCGGATTGGGCGGGTCATTCTACAGATGGTCTGGAAGAAGCTTCTGTGCCGTTGGCTGCCATTTTTCGTGGTTTAAGGAAGCCTAAACCCTAAACCCATACCCTAAAAATCTAAACCCTAGGCCACCGCAACCTTTTGACCCAGACATCCCAAGCTTGTGCACGATTTTGGTTTAGGGTTTAGGGTTTAGGGTTTCGGGTTATAAACTCTAACTCAGGGCGTACTTTCACGGGCATATCGAGAATTTCCTTGAAAAAGAGTCCTCCACACACCGTTGGCAGCACCCACGGGAGTCCGGATGCAAAAAGGGTTTAGGGTTCTGAGCCTAGAGGAGCACTTTTGAGCTCCGACAGTGAAGGCGATTCTTAGCACTTTGACACCACCGCAAGAACAACAGCAGGAACATGAAGAATCATATATGCATCATCGTAAAATCATGATGGTGATAGTAAGGGTAATGAGAATGGCAATGAGACTGGTCCCGGAGTAGCATAATTGTTCAAGAATTTCTCGCACAGTCACGACATGACAGTTGGACAGCTATTGCAATTTCTGCTATTCGTTCCTGTTACATGTGTATGCCCTTCATGAGGAACCCCCCCCCTCCAACATAGGCACCCGAATCTTGCACCCCCCCCCCCCCCCATATCTAAGGGTAGCTTCATGGCCCTCAATAATATAGTCCCTTACCTTCTTTAAAGGGTTTAAAAAGACATAAGGGGCACACAAGGCGTCCCCGTTTAAGGGCCCATATTAGACTATGTAACTACCCTAAGATCGATGTTCAAGAAGACCTTCGACTCAAAGACCTTGAACTATATTAAGGATCCCGAATAAAGATAAGGTATGTTCCTCAATCATTGATGGTTCTTAAATGGGCACTACCCTTTCCCACGTAGTTTGTAAAGTCTTCGATACTGTTGATAATCTATATCCTGCATGACCCTAAGGACCCTAAACCCTAGGAATTATGGTGGCGTAGTATAGTAGAGTCATGCAGGATTTACAGTATCAACCGTAGGTCCCCGAAAAAACATGGCCTTTGGAAAGGTATTTTCTCGAGCAAGGCGACTTGCACAATTACCGCTTCCTGTTGAATCAACAGGCCGAAGTCATGCCGAAGTGTTCTGCAGAGGGAGCTTAAGATCTCTCCGGGGTTGGGAGTTGGTTTAGGGTTTAGGTTTAGGGTTTAGGGTTTAGGGCGGACCCAAACAAGATCTGGGCCTCAGCGGAAGAATGCCTGCAGTAGCTTGCGCCAGGGCTTCCTATTGATTTCCGCGACGTCGACATGTAAGCACTACCATGGGGTTCTCTGTTCGGAAAATCGGCATAATCCCCTCCCCCTAAGTTAAACCCCCCCCCCCTACCCCCTAATATTAAATACCCCCCCCCCCCCCTACACCATATTATAACGGGGGGGTATTCAAGATTAGGGGGTAGGGGGGCGGTGGGTTTAAAAATTCGGGGGGGGAGCTCAGAGACAAAAGCATCATCCATCCGAGTGCTGTAAAAACCCTACAAGGCCCCGCCCGAATGCGCTGGTAGGCCGCCTTCTTCTTCACGAACACGGACATTGATCCCATCGATGCCCTCGTTCCGTACTTCAAATCTCAGGCCCGGGTGTGACCCGTTTAGGGTTTAGGGTTTAGGGTTTAGGGTTTAGGGTTTAGGGTTAGGGTTTAGGGTTTAGGGTTTAGGGTCATGGCCAGGGCTTTTTCTCGAGGCTTCTGGCGCCGAGAAGAAGGGTTTCGCTGGTGAGTACTCCAAGACCTTGCGGACCAAATGATCCCTAAAATTGGGGTCATATACCCCAGAATACTATAAGTCATATGGGGTATACGAAACCTCAACCCTTTTAGGGGCTCAGTTCGTCCCCAAGGATCTGAATGTTTCGTTGGCATGGGCGTAACGACTATTCTTCGTACTAAGGCATATGAACCATAAACCCTTTTAGGGCCCTAAACCCTAGACCCTAGACCCTAGACCCTAAACCCTATCCCCCAAACCCTAAACCCTAAACCTTGCATTTCGTCCCCAAGGTAGGGTTGAAGAGCTGTCGGCAGGCAGATCCATTCACAGCCCCGCTTGACGTGGCGGTGGAATGGCTCCCTGGCCTCTTATTGAGTGGTGTTTAGGGTTTAGGGTTTAGGGTTTAGGGTTTAGGGCTCAGCAGTCCTGGGTTAAAAAAGGGTTTTGGGTTTTGGGGAAGCTGCATGCTCCTCTCAGAAGCCCTGCAGACATATTCTACGCCACGAGGCTTGGCCCTAAATGGAAAATCTCATGCCTGGCCTCTTCCCTTTAAGGCTCCAGGCACTCCTATCCTAGGGTTTTTGGGCCCAAAGGCCGTGTTATACAGGGTTTAGGGTTTAGGGTTTAGGGTTTAGGGTTTAGGGCTATTTTGAGCCGAAGGGTACAGCAACTGAGGTTTCTGCACCAGAATGGCTTTCAAAAGCCCGTCTCCAGGGACCCGGCTGGATGGACCCCGCTGTGTTCCTTTGCCTGGAAGTCTTGGGTTGCTGGTTCTCCCTGCCAAGGCATTCGAAGGTTTAGGGTTTAGGGTTTAGGGTTTAGGGTTTAGGGTTTAGGGTTTAGGGTTTAGGGTTTAGGGTTTAGGGTTTAGCGTTTAGGGTTTAGGGTTTAGGTTTAGGGTTTAGGGTTTCGGGTTTGGGCTTTAGGGTTTAGGGTTTAGGGTTTAGGGTTTAGGGTTTAGGGTTTAGGGTTTGCCTATTAGCTGATGAATGGTACTTCAATTCAGTTCCTTACCCGCAGCCTTTTTTTCGACGTCTGTGCCACAGGTTCCTGCCATGATCCCATCTGCAGCATCTGCGGGCATGCCATGATCAGGTGGTAGACTCCCAAAATGACAGTTCTACTATTTGCTTAAGAATCCCAAAGGAATAAAAATACTAATTCCGATATTGCCCTCCCAAACTTACTACTATTTGCTTAAGAACCCCAAAAGAATAAGAAACAATGACTCCTACGTTGCCCTTAATAGGAAGATTTTTTTCGGGGTTCTTAAGCAACTAGCAGCGTTAGGTCCATAGTTCCGTAGCCATGATAAACACGGGCCTGTGCATGCCCAGAGACTAGGACCAGGGTTCCGGGAACGGGCCCTAAACCCTAAAACCCGAAACCCTTAAACCCCAAAGCCCAAACCCCCGAAACCCCCTAAACCCCTAACACTCTATTCAGAGCTTTAGCAAGTCAGGAAGGAAGGGAAAACCCTAAGCCCCCAAAACCCCAAAACCCTAAACCCCCTTTCAGGCTAAGGAAAACCCCCAAAAAACCCTAAACCCCCTAACCCCCCCCAAACCCCTAAACTCCCTAAACCCCCTAAACCCAAAACCCTAAACCCCCTAACACTCCTAAGACCCCCCTGATCCAGGTTATCAACCCCCCAAAACCCCCCCCAAAAAAAACCCATTAACACTCCTCAGACCCCCCCCCCTGATCCAGGTTATCAACCCCCAAAACCCTAAACCCTAAACCCCCTTAACACTCCTAAGACCCCCCCTGATCCAGGTTACGCCCTAAACCCTAAACCCTAAACCCCCTTAACACTCCTAAGGCCCCCCCTGATCCAGGTTACGCCCTAAACCCTAAAAACCCTAAACCCCCTGAAATCTGAAACTCCTAAGAACCCCCTGACCCAGGTTACGCCGTGATGGCCGGGAGCCCGACCTTGGTTTCCACGCTCCTCGAGCGCGCGGCCGACTGCAACGACCGGATCAGCAAGCACAAGAAGGACGTAGTTTAGGGTTTAGGGATTCGGCTTTAGGGTTTAGGGTTTAGGGTTTAGATGGTTTAGGGTATGGGGTTTAGGAGTTTAGGGGTTAGGGTTAGGATGGGTTGGGGTTCAGGGCCTCGGGTTTAGGGGGATACTTCGGGGTTCTAAACCCTACGAAAACCCTAAACCCGCGGATCGTGCCATTGCAGGAAGAGTCCCGATCTAGGATGCTTCAGGCCGTTTGTTCATAGGTGGCTTAGGGTTTTGCTACTGCGAGTCGATCATCTTGTCCTCATGTTTGAGACTCTGCCTCTTGCTTGGCTTGCTATTTTATGGAAGTCCAGTCAGTAGTGCTGGAAGCCTGTGCTTGGGCAGTTTCTGGCAGCACCCACAGGAGTCCGGATGCAAAAAAGGCTTTAGAAGAAGAGAGAAAAATGGGCTGCGGGATCCTTACTGGCAGCGCCTTACTGGCAGGCGCCGAAAGAGGGTTACGGGCTCTAGAAACGCCGGAAGAGGACCAAGTGGATTTATTGCAAAGAAGCTCTTTTGTCTCGTCGCCTCCTGCTGCAACAGATATGTTGCAACATACCCATTCGACACAGGCCCTGATCCTCGAAGCCCCCAAACCCGAAACTTGAAACGCAACTCTTAAACCCTCAAACCCCTAAACCGTGAAGCTTAGTTCTTAAACCCGGGAGGCTAGGCAATTGTCTTGTGATTCGTTTGGTGAACTTTGTACATGAAAAGGTGGGGTTTGTCTTGGTGTGTTGCCCTCCGTTGGTGACTTTATAGTAGAGTCGAATCGTCATTGAAACTGATGTCGGCGTGTCAGCTGAGACCTTCCAACCGAAGCCCGTGCCTGCCTTGAGCGAGCGTGAGAGCCATTAGCTCTTAAAGCCCTAAACGCGCATCTCTTGAAACCCTCAAACCCTAGACCCCTGACACTGAACTCTCAGACCCTCGAACCCCTAAACCCCTGAAACTGAACAACCCTAAACCCTAAACCCTAAACCCTAAACCCTTTGAAGGACTTTCTCTTCCCCAAGGGCATGCCCGTGCTTTCCCTTGCGGCCTACTTCCACAACATCGGAGCCCTGCAGGCTCCCCCCCATTTCAGGGCTTAGGGTTTAGTTAGGGTTTAGGGTTTAGGGTTTAGGGTTTAGGGTTTAGGGTTTAGGGTTTGGGTTTTGGGGTTTAGGGTTTCGGGTTTGGGGTTTAGGGTTTAGGGTTCAGGGTTCAGGGTTCAGGGTTCAGGGTTGACGGTTTAGGGTTTTTTGGTTCACACCCCTTGGCCCAGATGCAAAAGGGTTTAGGAGTTTGGGTTTGGCGTTTCGCCGGCCAGAGTCCAGATGCTAAAAAAGGCTTTGGGGCGAGGCTTTTTGGGGGGTGTAGGCCTCTTTCAAACCCGGGGGGGGGGGGGGGGGGCTGTTTTGCACGCACGCTTGGAAGCCAGCTCAAAGAAATCGCATCTAGCGAGAAGAACTTGCTAGAAGTCCTTGCGTAGAGCTGTGTGGCTCTGGCGTACCCGCTCCCTACCAACAACCATGCTCCCTAAACCCGAAACCCGAAACCTTAAACCCTTAGTCTCCTCCTTAGCGCGGCGCCGGTTCTTGGAACAAAAACTGTAAGTCAACCCTAGGCCTAAACCCCAAACTGTGAGGATTTAGGATTTAGGGTTTAGGGTTTAGGGTTTAGGGTTTACCGTGAGCCCCCAAACCTAAACCCCAAACCCTCAACCCTAGGCCCCAACCCCTGGACTAGTTGTCCCCTCAGTTCAGAAGACCAGCTCATGGGAACTCCGCACTAAGCGTTCCATTCTCTCTGGGCTGGTAATTGGGTAGTTTTTCAAATTCGGCTCCCTTTTTGGGTGCTCACTACCACGAAGGGGACCCACATGTTTTTTTTTTTTTCTTGGCCGTGTTGGTTGCATCAACTGGAGGAAGTGGCTGTACAGGTCAGACATTTTCAAGAAATACACTCTAGCCGAAGAAACCCTAAACCCTTAACCCTAAACAAGGAGCATGCCTAGACGGGTGACAACAAACAACCCCTAAACCCTAAACCCTAAACCCTAAACCCCTAAACCTTATCCAGAAGCCCCCAGCTCGAAGACCTGGTAGGGCACTGCAGAGTGCACCTCAGATTAACCCTGTTATTCATGATCTCTTGAGAGAAACCAGAGTGTTGGTTTAGGGTTTAGGGTTTAGGGTTTAGGGTTTAGGGTTTAGGGTTTAGGGTTTAGGTTTTTTGGGGTTAAGAGTTCGGTAATTGCTAGCAAGAGCAACGCCAATATGAGCCCCGGCTGCAGTAGTCGTAGTATTCGGCGTTCATAGTAGTGACCATAGCTATATCCATACATTGATAGTGGCTCAGGTGCTTCTGTCCGCTCGCGCAAACCTGCATGCTTGCGACAGCCACCGGCAAACTCCGCTGCACTGGGTCGCGTGCCCGCATGAGAACAAAACAACCTTCTACTGCATCGCTTAGGTTAGGTGGCGAATAAACTTCACTTCGGCTCTTACGCGGGGAGTTTGGGGAAGTAACGGTGACATAGGGAACATAAGGCGCCGCATTCCCCAATTCCCAATCAACAAGTGTGTCAAGGGCTCCTGAGTCTCGTGACTGTATAGGGTTTAGGGTGTAGGGTTTAGGGTTGAGGGTTGAGGGTTGAGGGTTTAGTGTAGTATTTCCTTGCGGGGTTGTCTGACTTCTTTGGGGGCCGCAAAGAAGCAAAGAACCCTCAAACTTGGGGTCATACATCCTATACGACCATAATTGCTATTAAGGCATATTAGCACGAGACCTTTTGGGGCTCATGTGCTACCTTTCCCTAAGCCCCAAACCCTACCCCAAAAGCCTTAAACCCACTGAAGGCTTGCATCTCCGACAATGCTGCCGGCATCCGCGAGCTCTGCGACGCGCGCGCGGACCTCCTGAAGGGGGCAGATCCACAAGGACGAGGGTTTAGGGTTTTAGGGTTCCCAACCCTAAAACCCCTTTTGAGTAGTTCGCCTTCGCTTAAGTCAAGCGAGCCGAATTGAGTTTACTGTAGGGTTTAGGGTTTAGGGTTTTAGGGTTTAGGGTTTAGGGTGTGAACATCTTGAGGTCTGATCAGACAGCACATCCGTTGCTGCAGGCTCTTGCGGGGCAGGGCTAGGGTTGGGTAGTCAGAGCCATATCCAGCGCGGACGCTGGACGGATAGAAGGAGGAGAAGAAGGAAGAGAAAAAGGAAGACAAGCAGGCGCTTAAGCTGTAGGAGCGGCGTGACTTGGCCAATCAATTCAGATTGGTAGCGGGGCACTGGGCCCCTGCCTGTTTCAGGCGAAAGGGGTGGACAGGGCGACCGCGGCTGGCAAGATCACAGCCAGTCAACATGGCAACTACCTCAGATGGAGGTGGTGGCAGCACCGCGGCCGGTGCAAGCGAAGATCGGAGCTCGGGTTTTTGGAACCTTCTTCCTGGATTCGATCCTTCGAGTGATGATCCTCGAGAGTACCGCGACAAGGTACAGTTCCTTCACAAGGTGTGTCCACCGAAGGATCGGGGCATGCTTGCCCCTCGACTGGCTCTGTTGTGCAAGGGCACAGCTTGGAGCCAGGTGAAGCAAATAGACGCCTCGAAGCTCACTGATCCAGAGTCAGGGGTAACGACACTCCTCAAAGCCCTGGAGACCTGGGATGAGTCAGCTGAGCTGCAGACATATGAGAAGTTCGAGAAGGCAATCTATCGTACTCTGCAAAAGCAGGACGAGTCAACCATGTCGTTCGTGAATCGACTTGGAGTTGCTTTCCATGATCTCGGCGACACCATGACAATCAAACAACTTCATGCATTCATCTTGCTTCGACAAAGCGCGCTGACTGCAGAGGACAAGAGGAAGGTCATCACGTTGTCAGGTGGAGACATGGAAGTGAGCAAGGTGGAACAAGCGATGCGAACCTTATCAACACGGATCCTCAGCATGGGAGGAGACATCAAGAAAAAGACCTATCCCGCTAACTTTGCCGAGGAAGATGACGAGGAGGCCCTGATGATCGAGGAAGAGGCTGACGAAGATCAGCTGTTGGCCAATTTGGCCGAGGCAGGGGACGAGGACGGGGTGTTCATCATGGAATATGAAGAGCAACTGCTGGATCTGGTACAGGAAGTGCCAGAGTTGGCCTCATGCTTCTCAGCATACACGGCAGCAAGACAACGACTCCGAGATCGTCAGAAAGGACGTGGCTTTTGGCCACCTCGTGGTGGCAAAGGTGGGAAAGGCAAAGGAGGCAAGAAAGGTGGGCGTGGAGGAACAGGGCAGCCATTCCGAAAGTCGTTGGCTGAAAGGATAGCAAACAGCAACTGCAGGATCTGCGGACAGCGAGGGCATTGGCGTGCCGAATGCCCGCAGCAGAAAGGGTCTCAAGGGCATCCCAGTGGCAGTGCGAGCTCCGAAGCTTCCAACCTTGTTCTCTTCACCACCGAGGCCAACACCGAGCCGGAGATTGTGGACCGTCTTCCTCAGAACCTTGGCGTGCCGACGACCCAGAAGAAGAAAGAGAAGGTCTTGCCAGTCCCCGCCTTAATTCAAGAACAGCATGAGTTAATGTTTTATGGTCAGCATGAAAACCTTGTTGATCACACCCGACCCTGGAAAGCCCATGCAGCATCTGATGGACAAGCGAACTTAAGAAAGCTACGACGAGCCTGGAATAAGCTAAGGGGAAACGATGAGCACCCTGAACAGGCGATGTTTGTAGGTAGAGCCGAGACCGCAATCCTTGACACGGGGGCGAGCAAAACAGTGGCCGGTCAGGTGAACTTTGATCGCTTTGTCCAACAGCTTTCTAAGTCAGTTCGAGATCGCATTCACAAGGCTCCATCAGGAACAGTGTTTCGTTTCGGGAACAATGGGACGCTGCCTAGTCTCTACGCAGCATTTGTTCCCTTTGGGAAGAAGTGGTTTAAGATTGAAGTCGTGGCAGGGCAAACACCGTTCCTGCTGTCTAACGCTGTGATGCGACAGATGAAGTGCCAGTTGAATTTTGAAGAAGACACCTTGTGGATTCCGGAGTATCACCGAAGCCTAAAGTTGTCGGTGGGGGTAAAAGGGCTTTATCATGTCGATGTTGTAGCTCTATTGGAAATGGATGGTTCAGAGAGTGCCCTTCTTGAAGTGGATACGACGCCCGAAGCGAATCCTCAGCATCAAGTGTCAAGAGCCACCGCCAACCATGACGACCTCAATCGACGAGCTCCTGAACATGCCCCTGGTTGCTACAGACGACGCGACCTTGTCTTTGGCACCAGCTCCCCTCGAGCCATTGAGCAAGCCGCCCGAAGTGACTTCCCTGCGCCAATGGGGAACCTATCGTCTTCAGGAAGGCCGCCACAAGGGGCAGCTCTTTCTCGACACCTTTCGCCAGCATCCCGAGTACGTCAACTATTTAAGAAATCGGCACATCACCTCAAAGTCCCTGCTCAGCTTTCGGTCCTTTGCCAACGCCATCGAGCACGCTCAGAGGCAAATGGAGGTGGCAGAGATCCTTCAAGAACACATGCTGAGCCTTCCCACGGAGAAGGGCGAAGGGATGGCTGCGCCGCAAATGACTCGAGGGCCGATGAAAGCACCGACTCAGGACGACCAGCTCCCAGTGGCACCAAAGAGGGTGGCGCGAAAGCAGGAAGCCGGCTCGAGCTCATCAAAGAGGAGCCCATCATGGGATGTGATCGGCGAGCCTCCCACACAGGGAATGGTGCAGGACAACAATTCCGAGCAGATCGGGGCGCTCCAGACACAGATTGCCATTTTGCAGCGAGAGCTGAGCCGCATTCAGGGAAGCCCGTAGAGGTTTCAACATGTCCAAGAAAGGATGAAATTCCCGAGGGTGAGCTCAAGTGTCTGAGTCCTGAAAAGCTTCTCGAAGTCACACGGGCAATCGATCAGCTATGTTTGATGGTTGAGCAGTCAATCCAAGAAATTAATCGGCTCCACCCTACAACCTATAAGGCCAGGCAAGCAGAGTCGAGCCACAGATCCTCCATGCTGGAGATTAGTGTTGGATTTCAGGGTATGATTGGTCGTGAGTTAGGGGAGACAAACGGCTCCTGGGAGAGGATCGACCTCGCCCGTTCAAGGCTGCTTCAAGCCGGCGTGCCGGACGAGATTTGGAGCAAAATGAGCGAAAGCCAGCCTAGACATGTATGGTTAAGCATTGGACCCAAGCAACTGTCTAGACACGAAAAAGGGGTTCTAGTGCAACTTACTAGGGACCTTTATGAAGAACAGGTTTCGCGCGGAGCTCATTTCCATCTTTGGGCGCCCGAAAGCTTTGTTCAGGATACAGGGGAGTGTCTAGATGAGGTGTTTGCAGGAACCCTTCCCACTTTCTATCATGTAGGACATGTCCCCCGAACCGAACGACTGAAGGGTAACAACTATCTCCGTCAGAGGGTCAATTTTAGAACAACATCACAGGGTCTGCATAGGGGTCTTGATTGGAGATATTTCGTAGAAAAGGGTCAGATGGAAGGGTCCCGAAAAAGGGTTTATTCTCTTGGACTCTCGTCGAACGTTGCCTTCTGGATCGGCCGACTCAAAGATGAGAAGCCTCTCATCCTGAATGAACTGTGCTGTCACCTTGATGACAAACGAACGCTCGATGAGGACGAAGATGCAGGACAACAGGCAATCAAAAGAAGAAGGTGTCACGGGAAACAAGATGAATTGAACCTGTATCGATATGGGAAAAGCCATGTGTCGTGGGAAAGTGTTTTTCGAGAAGTAAACTCAAAGGTTCCACGGGCAGGGAATTTCGTGATCCCTCCAGAAGATCCCATGATTCCCAAGGTTCAACAATTGATTCCCGAAATGGTGGTTCATCACATGGAGGTCTGCCGGGGAGTGAATCGACTCCGAATCCCACAAGGTCGATATGAAAGATCCCGAATAACTCATCGCAAAACAGTGGTCATAAACCGAGACACAGGTAGCATTGAGGAGTGTGGACCTATTGAACACTGGGCCCGACTCCCCAAATACAAACAAATAGGCGCAGGTAGACATGCCAAGATCGCCATTACTGTGTTTGGGGTCTGTTCCGATGGTGATCAAGAATCAATGGCTTCGCCAAATCGCCGTGGCCCAACAATCGATCCACAAGCCCCGAATGCCTCAACAACAAATGCCCGGCCTGAACTTGGTGATCAGGACTCCGAAATGACATCCGCAACGCCGGAGCAAAGTGGGCCCAAAAGGGGCGAACCCTCCCAAAAGATGGCCTGGGGGCCCCCGCCTGTTGCAAACCATGGTCCCGGATTCCTAAGGCTCAACGCCCAGGAACAGAGCGAAATTCGACAGCTCCACCACAACCTTGGCCATCCCGATCCCAAAAAGTTTGCGCTTTACCTCAAGCAAGGAGGTGCGGATGAGGTTGTTCAACAGGGTGCTCTTGACTTTCAGTGTGATGCCTGCACCGAGTCACGACGTGGTTTTATGGCCGCACGG